TCTGTTCTTTCAGGAGTGACCAAGCTAAAGGACAGTCCTGAAACAGGGCATTGGGAGGAATCCTGCACGTGTGCACAGCTGCTTACCTACACTTGTAATTTAAGGTAGAATCAAAAAAGGTAGACTATATTTCTACATTGCAAGTAAGGAGTTTAGGCAGTTATAGAAGATTTTAATCTATCGGATTATCTGTAGCCATAAACCCAGGGCCTTTACCAAGCAGCTGTTGCAGGCATTTCTAAGGCCTATGAACACCTCATTTCCTGTTGGAATTCCCCAAAGTAAAGGCACTTAGTTCAGCTTTACTCCCGCTGAAGTTGAGTGTTTATCCCTCCTGTCCTCACATGACTGAACAAAACAACTTTTTAAATAGCACATGGCAAGAGAATGAGTCAAAAATAATTTAAGAGAACTTTCTTTTTTCCCCCTCTACATTTTGCCTACTGGCAGAAGGGGAAGCGCACAAGAACCATCCTTTCCATGCCCCTGCTGATGGTTGTCCTACATTTCCACCCGACGCTCCACCAGGTGCTCGTACTCCCCATGGCCTTCCCGAAACGCCGCGCTGAGCACCAGCACCCTCACCCCCAGCCACCCCAACGAGAGACCTTTAAAAACTAGACGTTCGCTGTGCTTCCCCGCGTGGGTCCAGACCGGGCACCAAGAGCAGAGAAGCAGAGAGAGACGATGCCCGGGGCAGGCCCCCCCCAGCCGCACGGCCCGGCCAAGTGCAACGTCCCTGGTGCTGCCCGAGGCCGGGCTGGGACCGCAGGGACCTCCTCTCTGGCCCGGCGGGGAGGCCTGTGGTCTGCGTCCCCAGACATTCGGGGCACGTCTGCTAAAATCCCGTAAATGCAGAGCCTTTGGTAGCGGTTCTGACGTCGCTTTCGCGTGGGGATGGATGTCCTGGCAGAAGGAGAGGAGATGGAAGGAGAAGTTTGGAAGGAGCCGCTTCCCCAAATTCAGGGCAATCATAGGTTTGTGTGCTAAATTACAGCTGGTCCGTTCGCTGAAATCTTATCTCCCATGTACTTATACACCCATTGCCATAGTAACCAAATTCCTCAGAAGGTACAATGCAATTTTTGAACCAAGTATATTAAAACAAAATTAAGGTTACAAAGTCAAGTACTCCAAAATTAGGAAGTGTCAGAATTAAGTCTACCAGCTCCCTTGCCAACCCATCTTAGCTTTTGCCTTCCTCCCCATCTCCAGGGCTCCCAAGTCATCTCTTCTGCAAACCTCCATCTCTCAGCCTGTCACAGCTGCTTTCCAACCCTTCCACTGTCCCAATGTCACCACACTTCTGTCCTGACCTGTTCTTATCGCTCCTACCCCACCTGCCTCGTAAACTTTCTGTGTTTGCACCAGGCACCTTCCTCCTCCACACTGCCTGGGTGCTCTCCAGGAACCATTCCCTCAACAGGACGGTGATTCCCTGGAGTCCAGGAACTGGAAAGAAAAGAAGCTGCTGCTGCAGGGAAAGTCCTTCCTGTCTCCTGCAGCTCTGTGAGGTTTAGTGCCTGCTCAGCCCCAGGAGCTGCAAAATGCCCAGGCAATGCAAGGTGGTGGTTTACACCATTACTACCTGCAAATACTGTGCCAGGAGAACATCCTATGGAATAAGCACCTATTCTGGGAGATGCTTTGGAAAAAGAAAGAAAAAAAAAAAAAAAGATGGACTAAGACACATCTATGGAGTGCTCAAGTTCTCCAGGTCTCCATACCAACACCCACAAGCTCTATAAAACTGAAGAGGGGAACGACTTTCAAGGGAATATACCCAAAGATAACAGTTCTCTCCTTGAAGAAATTTCACTCAAATCCTAATCAAATCAGGGACTTCTGCATCCTGTTGCTCACCTGCCTCTCTGAGAGGGACAGGTTAAGTCAATGCATCACTGCACACACACCAAAGGAAAATGCACAGATTTTTCCTCTTAAAACCTGCTTAAAAATAGCTGGCTCTTTACTTGTTTTACCAGTGTTACTAAGTATCCTAAAATAAGGAAAGAAAGAGGTAGGTCAACATCTGCAGCTGCAATTCTCAGAAATACAGTTCAAACCAAGGCGCTCAAAGCAGGTAATGCCCAAGGTCCATTCTATGCAGGTTGCCTCATATTGAAAGTATTTTCATAGAATCATAGCTTTTCAAAAAATTCTCTCTCTTATACTCTGATTCCTCATCCCCCTAACAAGACCTTGTGGGACTGAGCAGAGGAGAAAAGCACTTAAGTTGCTTCAATGTATCTGTAAACTCTGAAATATTCTAAGGCCGAAAAGGCAATTTCAGCTAAAGTAGGAACACATCCATCCTAAATCTGACAGGAAAATCGGTCAGATTCAGAAATGGGTCACTTTCAATAGCAAAGATCCAACAATTTTACCTTTCACATGTTCTTTGCGTGCTCACACACAAAGCTTCTCAATCCAGCTGTTCTCAAGATGCATTTGCAAAAAGAACTGAATGAATAAATAAGTAAAACCAGCAACTATTTCCACTCCTATCCTTTAACTGAAGTGAATAATAATCTGACTGCTTCATTTCATGGACAGACCTATTTTCTGTGCCTTTTGAAGAGGTTAACTGAGATATAGTACAACCTGCTGTAACCCAGGCTTCCTGGAAACGTTGTCCTGCCTGTCGCAGCGCTCTGGCCTCAGCGTTCACAGGAGGCGAGTCAAGAAACCGGCCTGAAAGTGCCAAGAGCAGGTCACTTTTCTAACACTACCCTGATCTTTGAGAGATGCTGTAAATGAATAGCAAGGTAAAGAAAAGCCAATTAATATAATCTTAAACTCCTCCTTAAGCATCCACTGGTGACTGCTCAGGCAGGGACCGAGCTAGAAGGTCCCTGTCTGGGCCCATGCTGAGTTGGGTAGTGGCGCTGGTTGGGAGGAGTTTTTATCTGGAGGCCACCACTGATTTGGTCAAAGCTGAACCGTGACATCTAAGGAAATATGGTAGCTGAAGATAAAAGCCACTACGCAGGGCTGTGCCCACATCACACAGTTTGAGCAGGATTAAGCTGTGAGGTGTAAGGGGCCTCCATGAGATTGTCTGCAAATATGCAGCATGGGGTCCAGCTCTATTAAAATGCAGAAGTAAAGCAAGAGGCCACAGGGCCAGCCATGAGAGCAGCCCCAAGAGGACAGTGGGACAGGCCTTGCTAGGGAAAAAGGCTGGAAATTTTCAACGAGAATAACCTGCTGCTTCCATTCCCCCACAAAGCAGGTCTTTGTCTTCTCTTTTGCTCCAGCAAATGGACAACACACACAAAACACCCCGCTCTCCCACGCGACACCTCCCAGAAACCTTCCTGCTTCCCAGGGGCAGAACAAATAGAGCCGAGCGATACAGGAGAGGGCGGCTGCGTTAGAGTTCAATACTGATACCTCATTTCTCTCGTACTTTAACATGGTCCTCTTTCTCACATTTTTTTATACAAAGCTATGGTTGCCATAAATCAGTCCTAAATCTGTGGTGCAAGATCTACATCATTTTAAAATTACATTTTAAGAAAATTAATGGAATTTTAAAAGCAGAAGAGTATATAACAACATCCCTCATCTAAAATCCAACTAGTTCAATGCTAGCTATCAATATGTTCAGATTTTATCACACCACCACTATTTCATAATAAATCTGAGTAGCTAAATTGGAAAGTTCATTATGGGGGACAGCAAAGGCTTTTATGAAGACCTCTTTCTCTTCAGACAGAGGCTGTGGTTTGCACTGGGCTTGGCGGTCCTCATTTGTTGGTGGAAATAAAATAATAGCACTGAAATAAAGATCATTCATTGCGAAGCTGAAGGATATCCATCTCTGGTACTCACACATACTGTCAACAGAGAATGAAGAACAACTCCACGTCTATCACTCCTCATTCTGCAGAGGGAGGAAGACAGCTCTGCACGACTAACCTGAACCAAGGGTATCAACACAACGTGATGGAAGAGACTGCACCTGCAACGTTTCCATTCACAGATTCCTTGGTATTTCTCAGGTCTTGTGCTGAGTCTGGAAAAGCAGAAAAAGACCAGAGCTCTGGTGACAAATGACTTCTCCCTCTTCTATTTCTCCATTTTCACTGCCTTCTCCCAAGAGGAGACTATTCAATTGTTAAAATGGGTAGCTGCACATCTGACCTAGACTTTCATTACAGACACTTGAAAAGCATCTTGCTTTTGCAGAGTGCTTAGGAGAGCTGCAGTAAATATTCTTACCTTACAAACACGTAAACTATACAAATAAGAGGTGACCCATCACAGATCACGCAAGTTCACAGCAAGAACAGAAAGGTCCAACATCCTGTTCCTAATGCCAGCCACGAAATTAATAGTGCCTGATATTTTTCAAGCTTCACCCAGCACACAGCTTATTAAAATTAAGAACAGCATTATTTACCTGGATTTATAATCTTGTATCTCAACATGATTTACATGTATCACAAGGCAGTGTTAAACCTCTGTGGGAGGATGGATAACTAAGTCAATCAAAATCGTATCTAGAATCTTTGCACTGGAGACACGACAGAATTCAAGGCAAGAACATGGTGGCTGGCAGGTGCCTCTGCTACTGTAGCTGTTTAGAGGTAGATGTTATCAGATTCCTTTCACATCTACTTAGATTTCAGGAGACAAGCACCCACATCACAAAAAGCAGCCCAGCCTCACATCCTTTTGGCAGTTTCATCAAAGTGGCCAACTACTTAAACAGGCACAGAAAAAGAATGAGCTCCTTGCCCCTAGAGGCTGTCTGTGAAGGGCACTATTAAGGTATAACAGCAGAATAAAATAAGAATTTTTTTGCACTATTGCAGTCTGCACTGTACCCAGGGATAAATAAAATTCCAATCTCCACAATCTCCAGGCTGTCAATCTGACACCTTTTGTGAATACTAAATTCACACATACAAAGAACTTTCTTCTCTGTAGGTTTTGAAACACCTTACACACCATTTCCTACTGGCAACCGAACAAGCAGCATAATTTCATACCTGGCAATTTGACGATTCTTTTTCAGCAGTCTGGAATAATGGATCCCCTTTTGTTTGTCAGTAGAAACAGACAAATAAGGAACAAAAAAAAGAGAGCAATATTTCCTTTATTAAAAGGAGATGTATTTGCTGACTGCTCCTGTCGGTTAATAAACAAAGAGAAAGTCAGGGGTCCATTCTGCAAAGTGCTGAAGATCTTGGATTTTGAGCAGGGGAAAGTAGGACAACCTCCTGATACCTTGGGCAGATACTGCCCTAACAACCAACCAGCAACAGGCAAGAAACTGCTCCCTCATAAGGCATGCAGGTCACCCAGGCAGTCCAGCTGGACAGGGAGCTGCGGAGAGCTCCACACACCGTGCCAGAAAACACTACTTACTTTTTGTATGCGAGCTATAAAGAACAACCAAGAACTAATTAAAGTTCCTGAACACAAAAGGGCAAAGAATATTAGCTGTAGCGCTGTTTGCTGCCCAGAAGTTCTTTCTGCATCTGGAGCACTTCTCAGAGACCACCAATCTCCCTTCTGATGACCGATACTCAGGGTTTGTATCTCCCAAATACCTAAAAATGCCTCTGTGCAGGTTATTTTGCCAAGTCATTATGAGTAAGGCAGTATCTAAAGCTCTAGCCTGTAAGAGAATGAACCTGTCTATATTTCCATGAAGCACATTGCTTAGTATAGCTAGATACAAGCTCCAGGAAGGCCAGTTGCTGCTAGATCACAAAAGTCCTCCCTTAAAGCAAGGTAGAGAACTCACCTACGCTCTTACACTAATAATTTCAAGGGTTCAAACAAAATGGGCCTGGTTATATCAGTCATGTAGTTGGTTTTGGCTGCCCCCTGACCCTGGCCAGGGCCCAGCAGCAGGGAGGCTGCTGGTAGTGCTACCATGATGCTAATATAAACCTCGGAAGTGGCTGGGAGAGTCTCCGCTAAGAGAATCGACAAAATTGCAACAAGAAATCACTATATGCTGCTTATTTAAGTATCCCCACATCAGTGAAACAGGGAGAGGCACAAACACACCGCCACACAGAAGTACGGAGGACCTAAGTTTTTATAAAGTGCCCATATACTTGCATCTGGCACACAATGTGTATCACATCCTTTACTCCCTACAGCACACAAAGCAGAAAAGTTTGAGAACTTGATAGTAAGAACCGAAAAGAAATAACCGCTTCCCTCTCTTTTTTTCCCCCCCTCTCCTATTAAACTAATTCCTGTTGTATAAAGTCAGCTTGAAAGCTCCTTTCAAAGGAAAAGGGGGAGGGATGAAAGGAGGAATCAGATCTACTTGTTTTTTGCATTTGAAATTCAGGTCTCGTCTCCCCTGTTTTGTTTTCTTGGAAGATGCCGAAGTGGAGAACTCACAGAATTATGACATCAGGATTATAAAAACCCCCAAAACCTACACAACAGCCAAGCAGCTTTCAGGCAAATAAGAATTTAAAATTTCAGGCTGCTGGCAGTTGTTAACACTGGGACAACTCAAAACTCACCATGGTCACAGATAAAAAGTTTCCCTTCAGACCCTCTGGCCCCTGGAAACAGCTCAGTCAAAATGGGGGGAGGCTGCAGGGCTGATGCTTTCAAGGCTAAGAGGAATTAAGGTTGCAAGGTGTTTAGTTATTGATCATCTGGAAAGATACCTGGAAGCTGCACTAATATTTGCATTATCGAGCGTGCAGGCGGGTGGTTTCAACCATAACAAAACAAAGCACAGAACAGTATGTCTAAGTCACTGTAAGTTGGAAACTGTTAGTAATTAAAGACTTGGCTTTTCTTCCATATAATGTAAGTACTCTGAAAAGCATCTTTCCTGTAGATTGAGTTAAATATGCCATAGCAGAGACTGAGGAATTTCCCCATGTGCATGCATGCAGAAAGTAGGATCTGCAAAAGGGAAAATCATGCTTCTCGCACTGAAGACCATGTCATATCTTGTCTGTATTCATTAAAGCTCTGGAGAGGCCCATGCTAAAACATGCAACCTGACTGCTCCATGCCACAAGCAGCTTTATCCTTCACGTGACGCCTGAACTCAGCAGATTGACATGACTGGCAAGCTCGAAGAGGTCTCAAGCACAAAGTATCTTCATTATCTTAGAAGAAATAGCCAAAAAATATCTTGAAGACTGAGACACCAAACTAGGCACTGCACAACCACTGTCCAGCCCAGGTGTAGCTAGTGGCTGGTTTCAGATAAAACCCAATTAGGGATTTCTGTGAAGCTGCTGAAGTTTTCTGTAGAGCTTGACTTTTAAGACAGTAAAATGATGAAGCACTGCAATATACTCAGTATCAGAATCTTCTGCCCTGGTAATTAGACAAATAGCTGTCATTAATAAAGCATCAAAAGAAGGTGGATAACTCCATTCAGAGAAGGAATTTTACTCAGAAGTTTTGATATTTGCAAAGTCATATGGAAGCAACTAAGCACGTTGTGTCCTGAAGTGTTGGTTACCTTTGGAAACGAGTCAGGACAGGACACCGACCATCACTGCAACTTTCTGTTCACCCACTTCCAGGATGCAGTTCAGTGGTGTGACCCTATGTGTCATGTACTTAAAAATGCAATCACATGCATGAAAGCATCCATGAAAACTCCCTAAATCCGCAGGTGCTTGGAGCCTCCAAAGCAGAAACTAAGCAGACAAGTACAATCACAACTCAGACAATACTCTCCTTCCACTCGCACTAGTCCGAATCATCCTGGTTTCCCCAAGAGTTATGTAAACAGGCAGGTAGATTTTGCAATGCATAGGATGAAGGTAAACAGAACTAATAGTAAGTGCTATTTCAAATCAACAGGGGTAGTATTAATTGCAAAACAAAAGCAGATTTAGGGAACACTAGCTAAATTTCTCCGTGGCTGCAACAATATTGCATGGAAAAAAACAAACAAGCCCTCAGCACATTCGGAAAACCTAGGTCCCAAAATATTGAGTGCTCCCATACAAGGGCTTGAATTTCAAGGTTTTCACTCTGTTAGTCTAGTTTAAAAATAACATAGTTCAAGCGACATAATCCTTCATTTGATTACTTCTAAATAAGCTTCAGCAATTTTACTGTGTAGACTTGCTTTAAATGAAAATCAACATTGTAAATTTCTCTGCAGAGACAAATAAAATAGAATTTACAGTAGATGAAAGTTACTTGTGCTGAGCGATGTCTCACTGAACAGTGCCTATAGGTGCCTGCCAGGAACAGGGGGCTTGAAGCTCTTCTTTCCAGTGCATCAGGTAAGAGCACGTTCAGCTTTTTACAGAAAACATCTGTGTGCATTTGTATTATGTAATAACTGGACTCTAAGAAGATTTGACATTCAGTTCTAGTAGGGACTACCTTTAGGTAAAACATTTTGAAAAACAAGGAATTTTCTAAATTTTTTTTGAAAAGTCTGTCAAAAAACACACATCAAACCTTTTAAAACAAATTAGCAAATAATCTTTAGATGTGCTTTACTTATATTTTCCCCGACTAACTGCCAGCTAATGAACATAAATGATGTTCTTTACAAGAAAACTACATTTGTGTTAATCTAATACCCAATATAGCCCTCCTTGTTGTCAAACCAAGAACAAGTCTTCTAAATTAATTTGCAAAAACAAAGCAGAACATGAGTACTGCAATGAAAAGTAAAAGTAATGGTGAAGACAGCTTGCTCCTTCAATGACTTTTTTTGGGGATAAAACCTACTGGAATTAAGCTTCTTGTCTCTACTAAGAGGTGAATCCTCAGGCGCCGATTTACACAGTGACATCTTCTTAAGTACAGATTATTTTAGTGCTTAGGACCCTGAGCTTTCTTCTTCCTAATCAGCAACAGACTGAAATGTTCACGACTGGTCAGCTCAGCAGTGCTGCGTGGGCCTTCGCAAAGGAACCGAGCGGTCTGGTCAGCTTCTGAGCTAGCGGTTTATGGCAACATCTCCTGACTATGAGAGAAGGAAATAACTGAAATGATCATTATGCAAGACAGCAATCTTAGCCCTCACAAAACCCTGCCCGTGCTTCGGTCCGTAGGCTTGCACACGTCTGTCTTGGTACGTGTCATGCCTTTGGGAAGGGAGATGCTCTAGGACTGCCCATCTACCATGTCAAGGGAAGAAAACTCTCTTGCACTCTCCACAAAGGACAGGGGATCAGCATTCAGATGGGTTTGCCTGCATTCTTGCTGCAAAACGGGCAGGTCACAGCAAGAATTAACAGGAAGTTCTAACATGCACCTCCAGCCAGAGCCTAACCTAGTTTTAAACACTTCAAAGTATGGGAGGCTTTTTTTTGTGGAAAGGAAAGAAGGAAAACTAAACCAAAAACACAGGTAAGCGTTCACAGCTAGCCCATACAGCAACTAACCTCTAAGAAAAACGGAGCCTGACATTCCTAGCAGAGCACTGCCCCTGAAACACACTATTATTTTTTCCTAACTTTGATATATATTTCTAGAAGCTAGCACAAAATTTTGTCAAGACTTAGGCTGCTTTCTTTTATTTTTAATTAAGACAGCAAACCCTCACAAAAGCCTCCCAGTAAAGGCCTGTCTATCAGGATATCCTGAGCCAGGACAAAGAGGGGTTTGCACCACTTCAGCTGACCCCTGGGAAAATCGCCGCACTGCAGCACGTTTAGTCTTTATGGGGTGGTGAAACCACATTAGAACGGTTAGTCCTAGATGTAATTCTCAAGGTAAGCCTTATCTAAGCAAAGAACAACAAAAATAAAGGCCCAAGCAGAAAGGGGAGGGCTATGGACTTACAGGCAGAAGATCATGTGCTGAGTTATGGTTATGCACATATCTGTGGTTTGATTTGACACCTAAAAAAGTAGGCTGCTTACCTAGGTGTACAGGGCCAAGTCATACGTAAATGGATTTCAAAACCCGGGTTTAACTATTTTGCTATCTAGGCCAAGAAATTGTTCTGGAACATATTTAACACAGTTTAATCGCATCAAATCATGGCTGGCCCAGAACTGACTTTAACAACTGTCAACTGCTTTTTAGAACAGGCA